GCTGAGTTTTAAGTACAGTTTCTGTTCCCTTCTGCTTATTCACATAAAAACAGAAAGCTATCTCTAAATAATACCACCACCACAAACATACTTACAATAACGTTTGAGAAAGCAACCCCAACCATCCATAAAAACAATCTTGGTTGTTTAGCTAATATGTTGCCTGGAGACAAAACCACCCATACTGTAAGAAGAATGAACAGCAACAGAGGTGACACAAGAGGTAGGAGTCCTTCATACAAAGAATCATTCTTCAGTGTTTTCTTTAAATGTGCTCTGTAAATAAATACAATCATTTTATGGAGTAAGAAAATTTATCCGATCTATTTCCGCACGGTAACTTCAAACTCTAGCCTAAACTCAGCCCAAGAATTCATCTTGCAACAGAACTACCTGTGCAAATGTGCTAGATACCCAGACATTTTACAAGAAATTGTAGGATACCTAAGTAACATTTATTTCTGGGATAAAATTATATAGTTTTATTCACATAGCTTCTGGTCAGCTTCACCAGCTCATCATTACACATGAAGTGAGCTGCAGTAGCTCCGTTGTTGTAGCTGTCACCCAAATGCACAGCATGCAGGCTTGTGGTGAATTCAAAATATATATATTTTTAGAGGACAAAACTTCTGACATGAGGCATGAAATGACTTCAGCCAATACGCCCCACGTTTTCGGCGGCAACACAGTCAAGCACGTGGCTGGCAGGCGTTGCTGTTGTTTAGGTCTAGAGGTGATGCTGCTAGACAATCCTGCACCACTGCCAAAGTACAGCCTAAAGGGGAGGCTTTTTTTGCTAATTAGAGTACAGGAAAATTAATGATGCATTGCGTTTTCTTGGATATTTTAAGCTGTCTTTTAAAGGTAGTACTATTAAAGGTAGTAAATGATTCTATTTTCTGTCAGCTAGGAAAAAGGTAACTAAGATCAAGAGCTTTTGCGTCTATCTTGCATCTTTCTCACTCAGGCAAAACTCATTAAGAGGTTATAAAACGAGTAGGAGGTTTAATTTACTAAAGTTCACTATCATTAAACCATTTCTTCATACCATAGTTCAGAAGAGCAATTCTGTGTTTGAAGTGTACTGGGAAATGTCCTGTTTAAAATCTCTGAACATTTGTATTTATAGAAACAGCTAGACAAAAACCCAATAAGTATCTTTCTCATTCCAAAAAAGAACATTCTTCTGACAAAATAACACCTGAGAACAGGCGGCAGGATGAAGAAAGAGAGGAGATGCTTGGAAAACTCAAATTCCTCATCACCAAATAGCTTGTGTGTGCATCCTTCAAGCAACCCTGACTGGATGTTTAGAATTACTGTGCTCTTCTGTTCAGAGGAGTGATAAACCCACCGGAAGGCTTGAGAGACACTGTGTCAAATGATGACTTGAAAACGAAAACACTAAACAAAAGTCCTGACATGAGAGGAAAGAAAGCAAAAATTAAATGTTCATGGGGGCAAATGCTGCTTCTGCCAGGGACTGACACGCCCAAGGTGCTGTCCTCCTTCTCCCAGTCTTCCCCAAACCAGAGTCCCTTGCTCCATTGGTCCCCAGTCCCCTCCTGCTGCTGCTCCCATCACCCTGCCCCAATGCCCAGCCTTTCTGCGGGTCCTCAGCCTTTCCTGCCCCACATCTCCTGACTCTCCACTCTTCCTGCCCCAAACTCAGGGTTATTCATGCTTTTATTAACTACACTGAGTACTGCGACAAGAAAAGGGCTGTGTAGGAGCGATGCGTTATTGTCTTACAGTCTCTCCAAAATATAAATGTTAATATTAATTTCCACTAATTCCTGAAGACAGGCAGTGACAGTCCCTCCTCCAGGACACTTAGGACCTGAGAGACCTGATGTGACAGATGAGTGAAATGAGCTAGCAAATACTAGAGGAAAGCAGGCAGCATTAATAAAAATAGGCCATCGGAGTATAAACTAACCGTGTATAAAATGCCTAGGTGCAGCAAGCCAACTCTTAGATGTAATCACAGCTTGCCACCTGCCTAGCCTGTATCTGATGGCAATTATCTGCAGACTTCATACAGAGAAGAGTTTTACAGAAGGATCTGAAAGACAATAAAGTACTTCATGGAGTGCAGGATGATCAGCTACAGAATTTTACCTAGCGCATGTAGAAGTTACAAATCACATTTGACTGCAAATAAAATGCAGTGTTTATAACTACAGAGCTTTCATCAGTTTACTATGCAGGACCAGCGTGAGACTGCCTGGAGAATGGCAAGTGAAAGGAAGAGGAGAGGAGTCATAAGCATGGAAAAGAAACCAGTCAGATTCTCAAAATTGACCAGAAAAACCTTATCAGGACAGCAGCTGGCTGAAAGAAGCTAGGCTACTTCAAGCATTACATTTATCTCTCAAGCGAGGAAACTGTTAAATATCCAGAATTAAATGGGAAGGGATAGAACTTATTTAATGTTAGTTAACTTACCTGTGAATGTTGTATAGTGTTTGTGGAAATGAAAGAAATAAACTGAAGCCTGGAAGAGAAAAAGATTCATATGTAATGATATACAGTCCTGCTACACTGATGACCTCAGAGTTTTCTCATATGATAACAGAGCTAGTGTGCTATTTTAAAAATGACTCGGTATTCCTGTACTCATTACAGGATATGAGCTGAGTTTGGAGGCTTTAGGCAATAATAAAACCTTCCTCATTTTTCCAAAAGTTAGCTGCTAGAAATAGTTGCCGATACAGATTTTCTTGCGTAATGAGTGACAAGACCAGAATGATTTTTTAAAGTTCTGATGCAGTTAGTAGGTAGGATCAGTTATTTGTCATACAGGTTCCTCTGCTGGACCCAAGAAAAATCACGGCCCCATTTTGCATGAGCTGCTCTCTGTTTATGTAGAAAAAAACCAAGTCTGACACCAAAAGCTTTCCAATGGAATATATAAAGACAATTAACCTCAAACAGGGCTGCCCACATTACTGGGGAAATAACAGGTTTATAGTTCAATATACTAAGGTTCAACTAATGATCTGCTTTGCTGATACAATGGCTGAAATGAATTAACTTTCATGATACGGCCATCATTGGAACGAGTGAGGGGTTTTACTTTTTTTTTTTTAAATACAGCTGTGACCTTTCTGAAGCTCAGCTTTAACCCGCAAAGGACAGGGAATTCGCCTTTGCTAACGCTGTGTCTACTTGTGTCGCTGCCGGTATTACCAACACAGCTGCTAACAGCCCCGGAGCTGCCTGAAGGCCCAGTTGTACCCCATCTGATACCCACATCCCAAATATGTTGGTCCACCCAAGGGTCAAAGAAGACCTCCCAGCAAGAAGTGGACGTTCAAGGTTTAAACAAAAAAGCAACAGTATTAATCAGCCTAACTGGTGAAAATATATATAATCCTTTTTTAATCTGTGACACCCATTTTCTACGTGTTTCCCTGCAGAGCTCTTTGGTTTTGGTTAGGTTTTTTTTTTCCCCCACTTTCTGTGTATCAAGGGATTTTCCCTGATCTGTTTGCTGCTTGGAGATTGCTCTGGGTAGCACATTTCTGCCCGGCTTTTATAAGGCATGAGGATTGGTTTTGATGCACTAAATGAATACATAATTCCTATTTTGTTATGGGCAAGAAAAGCACTCTGATGTTGTAAGCCTTCTGTTTTTACCTTAAAAAAAAATCTCATTTAAGAAACACAGTGAACTGTTCATACAGAAAAGTGGCAAACTTTAATCTCATTATTAGAAATAAAGAAAAATAAGAATGAACAGAGGAAAGAACTGATTTCAGATGACTTTGTATTGGGGCTAATGTGGCATAGCAGGCTCTCAAGAAATGTCAGTGTTTACCATCCCATCCTCATCAAAGACATACCCAAGTGTTTAGCATGCTCTGGCCAGAGTGGCAACTCAAGGGAAGGAAAACTAAAAGAAGCAGGAATAGTGGGGATCAGGATTGTTGGAAAACAGAAGAAGTAAAAAGGGATGCAACAGATAATCTAGTTCTCCAGTCTTTCTGGTTATCTATTAAAGAGGAGAAAACAAATAATTGGAAAAAAAATATATTTTCCAGCCTGTAAATAATTTCAGGTATTGCATTTTTACGTGTTTACTTCTTGGTTTTGCTTTTTAGCACAAGTAAGATGAAGAGCTCTGCTTCTTTACCATGGCAGGAACTCTGTATCAAACAGCTGAAGGATGTGCAGTTGAAGTAATATCCCAAGTATTCTGTAAATATATTTCTAAAATTCGCAAGCTTAGAGCCTTCAAAATGATCTGTGTTTAATGTGCGCTCCGGTTAGCTATGTTTTCTATTAGGCAGGGAGGGCTAGTTCAATAAAATCTTGAGTTACGTACAGCAGTTCCAACATCTGTATCACATTAGAGCAGACATGAGACAAAACATTGACTCTTGAGGTTAAATCTAAATTTCCTGCTGCAATCCTGAAGTTTGATTTGTTGGGAGAAAAGCAACCGAGAGGAACAGAAATAGAGACTAGAACTAGAAATAGAATTCAAAGAGCAATGGTTGCCAACAATTTGTTATTTTTATGAAGTGCCATTTTAGTTAGAAATAACACACTGACCACAAACAATCCCCCAGCTAGCTAAAAGCCACTTTCCGAATGGGGCAGTTACACCAGTTACTCCTCTGTATTTTTATACGGCTTCGCTTTTAGCAGAGCGAGAGCTGAGGATGCAGT